CTGCATTGAGAGAGAACAGAGAATAAGCTTTGATCTGAACTACTTCCCCTATGAATTATCTGCTCCGCGTTATTAGCAACTCTGAGAAGGCTCGGATCTCTCTCGGTCCCGGTTTGACTGCCTTGGCTTGTACATCCGACACCGTTTGTGTTTGCCCACATGCTCCTAAATTGCCAATTCTGATTTAACAAAGGCCCGGTGCTCAACAGGGGCTGTGTGGTAACTCCTATCTGAGTACAATTGGGGTTCCAGTCTGGCCGCTGCATCAAGAATCCACGTCCATTGCAGTAAATGTTGTCTGACATGCTTCCTTGGCCAAAAGCGTCAACATGTCTCTGCTGGTCCTGGGGCAGTGCATGAGATGCAGGAATCTGATCCTGGAACTGACCACAAAATTGATTGCCCACCATCAGATTGTTGCTTCCTTCCTGCTGAAAACCAATGCCCATAATTTGTTTATGATCCTCGTTAAGCGGGACTTTGAGAAGAGAATGAAGCTGCTCAGTGGTGCGAGATGCCACGCCATGGCCATTAAATAAAGACTGTAGTAGTTCATTTTGATCGTTGTTAGGGATAGAACCAAAACTGTTGTTTGCTTTTCGCTGTGACATCTTCCTCCTATCAACTTCTCCAAGCATGTCCGATTCCAGGTCTATGAAACAGTTTTTACCTATTTCATCACCTTCAGGATGGTGTATGATTGACAATCCACCACTGGGGGTGTAAGCTTGACGGCTAATGTAGGACTGCCTAATCCCTCCCACTGGCTGCCACACATCTCCACCAGAACAAAACTGCGACCCTTCTCCATGGCTTGCAGCAATAAAAGAAATCCTCTCATCTAACGAAGCATTTTCTAGTTCTGGTGCACAGTGCTTGCCTACATGATCTGCATCTTCGAGATTTGAAGTGTGGGGCTCATTAGGAAATGAAGCCTGTGGGAGAGACTGACCTTGAATAGAGCTGGAATAATCATTTACCTCAACATCTGTTCGGTTAAGGCCATGACACCTGCTGGGAGAACAAGGAGAAGAATATTGTTTCTCTTCTCTATCCTCCTGATTGATGTTATTGCCACAATCTGGTGATGAAACCTGTGAGGAGTGTGTACCAACTAGCAAGCAGCGACCTGAATCTGTGATTTGGTCACCATAAGACGAAGAATCCTTTGCAGGGGAGTGATTCTTGCCAGAAATTTGACTGAAAATTCCAGAATCTTCATCATCTTGTGCCATATCACCACTCTGATTAGGATTCAAACTTTCTCGATTATTGAATTGAACATCATGCTTCTGCAGGGGGTTTTCTGCAGCATACTGTTGTTGTTTATCCTGTACCCAAGAAAGTCATTAATAACATGGGTATGCGGAAACAATAAATAATACATGTTAATGGAGAAGACAAACCTCCATCCATGGATTGCGTTTGTCCTTCAGTTCTCTTCCCATAGAGCTGATTATATCTCGTTTCTGTAACTGTAGCTTTTTCCATATTGCATATGCTGCAGGAAGATCTTTAACAAGATGCAGCCTGCATGAAACAACCAAAGTTTCAAAAAATCAGAATTAATGGCTTAATGAAGGACTGTAGTGAAGATTTAGGTTGTTTCACCAGAACACTGACCAGTGAGCGTTCAGTTTCTTCTGTTCTTCTTCCACAAACACTCCGTATGGTTGAACATCTAAACTATCGATGCTACCCAAGATTCGATTAAGTGCTCTCGACTGAATGCTTTTACCAGACTGCTTCATGCTTGTGACAATTTGATGCTGCTTCTTGCTTATCTGAATATATAAAATGCAATTAAATGCTTGATCAATAGGCACATCTATTACATGAACGGCAACTGCACATTCAACCCAACAAAAGCCGCAGAGAATAACAATCGTTTGTTTTCCAAACAGCTCCTAGATAAGGTCCTGCTTCCAACCACCATGCACGCAGCTGTCTAATGGAAATCAGGACATTCTAATAATTTTCAAGCTAATTAATTTAGACAGCCAGTTTATTGCTGCTTGATGATTGACAGAATTCGGATGAACTAAAATATAGTAAGAAATGCCAAAGAATAACTAACCTTAAGATAGGACATGTATTTAGCACCATCAGTTTGCTGAATGCTATCTTTCGGGAACACATCCTTCTTTCTAACTTTTCCGCCCACGTTTACACCATTATTTTGAGATTTTTCTTTCTCTAAACCAGAGTTCTTGGGCCTGAAATGGATAGGAAGAATTAGTATGCAGGTTTGGGGCAAGGAAAAGAATACTACCAGCAATTGCATACACATGTGAAGAGTATGTGTTCAGCACCTTCTCTGAACATCTCCACTCCTTACAACAGAAGAAATCTTATTATCACTACTGTCTGGTTTATCATCTGCATTCCAGGAACTCGACCCCGAGGCAGCTGTTAGATCCTGGCAGCTACCGTTTACTTGTGCATTGCCCCCTCTTGATCTCCTGAGAAATAAATGTAAGCAATAGGTGAATCATATATACTAGTTACATATAATGAAATTAGATCTTGATAAAGGCATCACTAGACTTAAGCTCAACATAAATCCATCTTCTGTAAGGCTCATACTATAATCAACAACGGTTATTGCTTGACTATTTGTTCTTCACCAAACTACATAATTTTGCAATGTATCTGCTTGGTTACATTACACATCAACAGTTCTCCTTTTAAACAGAAAATTGTAAAGGACTGACCCCCACATCATTTTGACAATATCCTTCTCTGGATCTTTGCAGCTTTCCCATTTCTCCTTCAATGTCTGCAAATAATCTATAATACTACCAGAAACAATGGAAAGAGGAGTTACAATCATGTGGACAAACATTCCAAATGCTCCTATAATATAAATAGAGAAAACTGCACATACTCATGATGGTATTTCTCTAAATCCGAGTAGTATCTCTTTTTATCAGCCCTCAGGCGTTCCTCTCGAGAAACAATTTGATCTGGATGAGCTTTGCTGGAGCAGACAGCTGTTCCCCTGAAACCACAATTTACGTTCAAAATGGAGTCAAATTTCCTGACCATAAATTGGACCATCACTATGTATACGGTTTATAATGAGGATGAGAAGGCAGATCACGGACATTATTTCAAGCTCAGCTTTGGTATAGGCAAGCAATCACAGAATTCATTCTAGGAATCCAAACCAAAAAAGTCCAGTGTAACTAACCAATCAAGAGAAGGATTTCCAAAATGAAAATTCTCCCCATCAAGCAATGCTTGTACAACTTGCTCCACATCAACTCCCTCAGGGAGAAATTGCCGCAGATAATTCCTTTCACCATCAGATAAACAAGAATGCCAAACCTGAGAAAATAAATAACTGGAGATTAAAATGATGAAAGCTTATCATTTCAAAGATGTAAGCAGATGTTACGCAAGGATATCACTGTATTACCTCATTAGAAAGCACCTGTGACAGATTTTCCAACTGGAAAGTTTCATGCGGGACAGGGCACACTTGTGCCAAGACATTCTGCCTAGGAGGAACAACATCAAAAAATTCACGAAGATGCCTCCAACTAAGGCCAACTTGTTCCCTCTTAGAGACTACTTTACTTCGGTTGCGGTCCCATTCAAGACTGATGTGATCACCGGAACGCAAAGCACCATCTGGAGAACCAATCTTTTTCCTTTTTGCTCTGTAATGCTCCCGAGAACTGAAACCAATAACATTGGCACTGTTCATCCGCTTTCTCCTCTGATCAGCTGCCATTCTAAGTAGTCCACAGAGAAAAAAACAAACCAAATGTGACATAAGCGAATTGAAATTTATGCAAAAGGGTTCAAATTGAAAACAATGAAGTAACAACAACATCTGATTCAGGAATCAAAATTAAAACCAAAGTAGTTACTTTTACGGCTGATTGAGAAGAGAGCGGCGAATAGTTAATTCGGTGATCGATTGTGTCTGAAGTATCCAATCTTTTGTTCTATCTGACACAAAAACCCCGAAAGAGAGATCGAGGAAGAAGAGATACAATCAGGTGGAGTTAGCAATGCGATAAAGCAAGAAACCCAAGTCCAATTTGATTGAAGAAGAAGAGAGGGATGATGAAATTGGGGTCGATTGGAGAAAACCCTAGAGCGGAGAAGTAAGGGAGAGTATACCTGGAGACAAGGCGACTTAGACGACCGCAGAGAAGAGAAGAGAAGATTTGTTTGAGAGGAAGGAAGATAAGGCAAAAGAGGATTTTTTTTGGGCTCCGTTAAGTAGCCGTCAAACACCTTGCTCCTTCGCTCCCCATGGACCACTGCTTCGGTTTCGATTTTCCTACCTTATTTCTTCCTGTCACCAAACCGAACCGACCCGGCTTTTTAATTTTATTTCTGAGATTTACTTGCAAATCCAAAAATAAAAGAAGAAGATAAGAGAAAAAGGCTGGGCCTTTGGGAAGATGGGCTTTGCGATAAAGATATCAAAGTCAGCGTAAAGACTCCAGCTGCTCAGATCTCTTCTTTCTTATCACACCTGGCTTTGATTGGTGTTTTTTTTTTAACTTAAAAAAAAGTGTAGTAAAGATGTACCACTTGTGCATAGTAGAAGATCCTTTGCCTCAGTCTTTGGCAAAATGGATGCTAGTCTACTGTGTAATGTTATCTTTGCATCAGAGGACAAATACTTGATAGGACCTGTCCTATAAGACCTCCTACATGGCCTTCTTTCAAATATCAGTCCTAAAACTATTTCTGTTGCTTTGGAAAACAAATTTGAGTGGAAATTGTTTTTGGAAACTTTTGTAGTTAAAATCTGTTTCCTTTTGAATTTCCGAAAATACCGCCGAACTTTCACAAATAAGTGATCTGATTTCTTAGGAAAAATCTCTGATCTGATTTCAACATGGTTAATATAGTTTCTTTAAATAAATTGGGCCTTAGAAAGCCCATCTATTGATCCGACAAAATTATTTAGGAGGGAAACCGAAAAGTTGAAATCACCGGGAAAGAGGACAAACATTTATTTCGTATCTACTTTTTCCCCTTGAAAAAAAAAGAAAAAAAAAAAAAAAAAAAAGGAGAAAAAAAGAAATCTCTCTTCTTCTTCGTCGTCATCACAGTTTCAATCTCTCGCTGCTTGGTCTTCCCTCTCTTCTTCTCCGCTAGCTATTCCTGGTTCGTCTCTTTCTCTGCTCTCTAGATTTTCCCCTTTCCTCGTTTATTGTTCCTATCGTGTGACTCGATTTTGAAACCCTTGTGTTGGATTGTGATTTCGAGGGTTTTGTTTTCAGGGGAAAAAGAGTGATTGATGGCTGGAAAAAGGAAACGAGCAAATGCTCCTGACCAAACAGAGCGAAGATTGAGTGTTCGGGTTCAGGAAGTGAGACAAAAGGCGCTAGATGAGAAGGAGCGTTTAGTACGGGAGAGGGTTAAACTCCTCAGTGACAAAAAGAGTGAACTTTGTGTGGATGACACTGAGTTACATGAGAAAGAAGAGGAAAATGTCGATGGGAGCCCTAAACGAAGAAGCCCTCCAAAGCTAACCGCAATGCAGAAAGGAAAGCAGAAATTGAGTGTTTCGCCGAATGGCAAGGATGTGAACTTGGACGCTCATCTCAAAGTGACAAAGTGTCTGAGGTTTTTTAACAAGCAATATCTCCTCTGTGTCCAGGTTTGTGGTTTTCCTGTTTTGTCTCTAGAAAGGCTGATGTTTTCGTTTTTGCTTTGTTGTTGACTTGTTTTGATCCTCTTTTTTATTGTAGGCTAAGTTGAGCAGACCTGATTTGAAGGGTATAACTGAGGCAAGTCATGATTCTTTTACCTCTGGCCTTAGTTGCTTTATGCAACATTGTGTTAGTAATGTGCTCAGTTCCATTTTTTACTTCCCCTCCCACTTTTAAATGTATTCAAAGATGCCAAATCCAAACAATTATTAGCCCAAAAAATGTGAAAACTACCAAATAATTGTTACCTTGGTTGGTGCAAATACACATTGTCTATCTTGAAATGAAAGATATCATATTGTTCTGTTAAGCAACATGTCTCGTTATACTCTATTTTCTTGCAAATATGATGGTTTGTCTATTCTGTAATCTTGACGTAAGCCTTTAAGAACATTTTCCAGATGATTAAAGCAAAGGCGATATTGTACCCAAGAAAATTAATTGGTGACCTTCCAGGTTGGTTAGTAGTTGTGCTTTTACAACTTTGTTTCTTTCCCTAAATTTTACTTCCGAGCCACCATAAGTTTTTGTCTTAAAATTCTTACAAATAGTTTTCTTTTATGTTCTGATCACATTCGCTTGCAGGTATTGACGTTGGACACCGATTTTTTTCAAGAGCTGAAATGTGTGCTGTAGGCTTCCATAACCATTGGCTAAATGGGATCGATTATATGGGAATGGAATACGAAAAAGTAACACAACTTGTCTTTTTATGTTGTACTTTTATCTGAAATAAAAGATATTTCGTCTCACTTTTCATTTATTTATTCATCAATCTGACTTTTTTCTTCCCATTATAGGAGTATAGTAACTACAAGTTTCCGCTTGCTGTTTCTATCGTTATGTCGGGCCAGTACGAGGATGATCTAGACAATGCAGATACAGTGACTTACACTGGACAGGGAGGGCATAACTTAACTGGTAATAAACGCCAGATTAAGGATCAACTCTTACAACGAGGGAATTTGGCCCTAAAGGTACGTTTTATTTCTTTATGCTTATTAAGAATGTAAACAATCTTCTTATCATTTAAATTTTTTTCTAGCTCTCCCTACTCTTGTTGTGCTCATTAAGCTAGTCTTTTAGTTCATGCACCTCATCGTCCTTCACATGTAATTATGTATTATTTCAATCTGTTACAGCACTGCTGCGAATATAACGTACCTGTCAGAGTAACTCGTGGTCACGATTGCACAAGTAGCTATACCAAAAGAGTATACACTTATGATGGACTGTACAAGGTACTGGTGCATATATCCCTTTATTATTGGTTTGAGTAACTTTTATCTAATATTACCTCTGATTTCCTAAAGGCGAGATTCACAAGGAAAAATTGTTCCTCAGGACTATATCTAAGGTCTTATGGTTTTCCTTACTCATTGGTATAACTCTCGTCCACTTCCATACTTTCTTCGTATAGGTTGAAAAGTTCTGGGCACAAAAAGGCGTTTCAGGATTTACAGTGTATAAGTACCGACTGAAACGATTGGAGGGGCAACCAGAACTAACTACTGATCAGGTCTGAATGTTCTCCTATGTTATGGTTTAGGATAGCTGATGTTTTTAATAAATCATTCCATATTCCAAATTTTCATTTTCCTAGTGTGGATATCTGGTGCGACCTTTTTTAGATAAGCTATATCATTTCCACATAGTTCCACATATAACGTAGCTCATTTTAAAGACGCCTTCTAAACTAAATAAGTTCCTTCAAAACCAAGATTTGATATTATTTTATCTGAACATAGTTTATCATCGAGGTAGAATATCTATAAAGTCTTTTTAGTTTGCTATACCATTATGTCTGTCACTCTTATTCTGACATTGCTAAAAAGCTGTCTTATTAATTATATATTTCCAAAGAAAATCTCTGATCTATCTAATAAGAAAGTTTTATTTGTTCGAGCACTTCCAACATCTGCAGAAATTATTGGCTACCTCAAGAAAGAAGTTTTTATCGCATTTCCTTTTTTCTTAGACTTGCTGTATTCTTCGCTCTTTTTTTACCACTTAGTTTGTGTACTGAACATGTGGTCAGCTCACCTGTCATTTACATTTGACTATTAACTGAATCATTTAGTTCTATTATTGGTTTTTAAATCTTCTGGTGTTGTGAATGCTGTTTTGTAGAACTGCTTCTATTTCTTTGCAATATCAGTTATGTTCTAGTTTCTAACCTGGCTCAGTGAATGCATATGGTTAGTATGGATAGATCTATTTTTATGCATTTTTTACTTGAGGTTTGTTTCTTGTCATTGCAGGTCAACTTTGTTGCTGGACGCATACCAAAGTCTACTTCAGAAATTGAGGGGTACCTGTTCAATTGTTTTCCATGTGGTATTGTACAATGCAGTTGCAATTTAACATCCATTAATGCCATGTTTTTGTGAAGTTTGGTATGTGAAGACATCTCCGGAGGGCTAGAATTTAAGGGTATTCCAGCCACTAATCGTGTTGATGATTCACCAGTTTCACCATCAGGTAAGTTGTAGACGAACTAGAAAGTAATATTAATATCCACTTGACTTAGTGATATTATATGAGCTGAAGTTTCCTCTTTGAGTATCAGGTTTCACATACATCAAATCTTTGATTATTGGGCCTAATGTCAAAATCCCAAAGAGTTCAACTGGGTGTAACTGCCAAGGCAGCTGCACTGACTCAAAGAAATGTGCATGTGCTAAGCTTAATGGGGGAAACTTTCCATATGTCGACCTTAATGATGGCAGGTGATATTCCTTGTGGAGCCATTTACTCATGTTCCTTCATTTGTATGACCTTGGCGTATTATTTTGAACTGAAGTTTGCATTGAGAGTAAACGATTAGTCTGCTTTTCTGCTATTGCTATTTCATTCTTATCCTTTTTTTTCCATGAAATTTGACCAGTAGAGTACTTGGTGTAATGTTGCAGTAATGTTTACGGTTGAACATTGTTTGGGTTGATTTTCTGTTTTTTCCTTTTCAGATTAATTGAGCCTCGAGATGTTGTATTTGAATGTGGTCCACACTGTGGGTGTGGGCCCAAATGTGTTAACCGAACTTCTCAGAAGCGTCTAAGATTTAATCTTGAGGTATGTATTGGTTAAGACTTGGTATGGAACAACCACTTGCCACTAAATTTGAAAGGAACTACATTTGGATTTCATTATATGGTCCACTATCCTTTATCTGTTAATAAGTAAAATGCATAATCCAGTGTGTCATTTTATCTCCTTCCAAATCTGAGCTTAATCACAATCTGAAGCCTGTGTTTTGGTCTGTGGCCACAAACAGGTTTTCCGCTCTGCAAAGAAGGGTTGGGCAGTTAGATCATGGGACTATATACCAGCTGGTTCACCAGTATGTGAGTACATAGGAGTCCTCAGGAGAACTGCTGATGTGGATACTATCTCCGACAATGACTACATATTCGAGATGGACTGCCAACAGACAATGCAAGGTCTTGATGGAAGACAGGTAACATAGCAAAGCTTAATTTTCTATGTGATTATTATTGAATCAAGCATATGACTTTTTGAGGTATATCTCGTTGTTTTTCTCCGCCAACAGAGAAGACTAAGGGATGTTGCTGTACCAACGAATAATGGAGTCAGTCAGAGCAATGAAGATGAGAATGTACCAGAGTTCTGCATTGATGCTGGTTCAAAAGGAAACTTTGCTAGGTTTATAAATCACAGTTGTGAACCAAACCTGTTCGTTCAGTGCGTCCTGAGTTCTCACCAGGATCTAAGGCTTGCCCGCGTGGTTCTTTTTGCAGCTGACAACATTTCCCCACTGCAGGTACTGAGAAACTCATCTGTGAGGGGTGACTCATTCAAACATTCCCTTTATAAAAGAAATCTCACTACATTCTCTTGTCTCAATTGTAGGAGCTAACTTACGACTATGGATATACGCTTGATAGCGTTCATGGGCCGGATGGAAAGGTGAAGCAGCTCGCTTGCTACTGTGGAGCGCTAAATTGTAGGAAACGCCTATACTAACAAGGCTATTGGTAAGCTTATTTTTTGGTCACTCTATTTTGGGGAGTACATAGATAGCAACTATCTCCCAAGTGGAAGAACCCTTGACATCTTATTTGAGGGACTTTAGCATCTTCTGCAGCGTACAATTAGTGCTGCCTTTTTCGGCATTGTTGTTTCCTGAACCCTATTGTTGCCATTGGCATCTTATCTATCGGATCAACAGTATTAATTATCTATCTACTAGAGTATTCTTCGATACTTTTTCCTTTCTTATTTGCTGTGTTAACCTAAAGATTTGATGAGACTGGCTTATGATAGATATTAGATACAGTAGACGTAACATATCATTTGTCGAAGCAAATTTGATTTCTTTATCATCCAATACCTATTCAACTGCCACATTCAAGAAATTTAAAGAAAAAGTAACAAATCCGCAAGTTTGTTGATCTTCAACATTACTCTGGATCTTCCTTAGCTCTGGCTCGGTACTGTCGGCCAGGTCTTCTTATGACATGTTGAGCTGTTTCTGGTTCATCTTCTTCCATAGCAGAAATGGTGCAGTCTTCTATGGTATCAACAGCTAATGCAACTCTTCTTCCCTCACAATCCTTCTCTATACTTTCTACTTTACTCTCAGCCATTGGTTTTCTCTTTGGTACAAAAGCCACTGATCTTGGAAGCTCTACCAGAGGGTCTACAGGAAGCTCATCTTTCCTCCTAATCATGTTGAGAAAGTCCATGTATGCTTTCCTGTTGGATTCTTCATCAACCTCACCTGAATCGAATGTATATCGAGTGTATTTTGATGGGTTCCGCATATAATCAGGACTGCCAGTTGGATAGTCTGCCTCTACTTTATGTTCGTCAGGGGAACTAGTCTCCATCACAGAATCTTTGTCACCTTCAGTCAAGTTACCATCTTTGACATCAGAACTAAACCGAACACGCTTCTGCAACTTAGAATCATCAGCCTGGTTTTCTTTCCTCTTCAATATCGGTTTCAAGCCAGTATCATCTGAAGAGTCAACATGTGACTCCTTGCAAGTCCCCAGCAAGTTATCTTCAGACACCACCAAAGGTTTCTCGTTCTCCGTCGACATGGACAGATTATCCTGAAGTTCCTGCAACAAGTGAATCTTCTCTTAGCAAACACTTTTGGTTGCAAAAAAACACTTCTCTAATGTTTATAAATTATAATCAACATGCTATCACCAAAAGAGGGAAAGAGTAAAGAAAGTACCTCAGAGACATGTAAAGAATTCAACTTGTTAACAGCTTCAGCGTCTTCTTTAAGCCTAAGCTTTGCAGCTATGAGATTTGCTCGAGGGTCCTTCTCTCTTTCATTAAAAGAAGCTGGAAGCTCCACCCACTCGTCTGCTTCAGTCTCATAGTCATTCACATCCTTCATGCAAGAGTACACTTTTTCACCTAAAGCCACTTTGTCATTATCATCTTCTTCTTCCTGAACATATACACAAACCTAAGCTTAGCCTCGGAGATACTAAAAACACCCAATTAGAGCTAATTCAACATAAATAGATTTGAGATAAATACCTCCATATCAAGAGTAGAGTCCATCCCAATGGAGTTTTTGATCTCCCACTCCTCGTCATCGTAATCGCTCGGCTTCTGCAACTCACTACACTTTCCTTTTTCCTCATTTACGCTCAAATCTTCTACTTCATTCTCCTGCTCGGATTTAGAAATTTCCTTTTCTCCGCTTCGTTGGTTGTTATCGATCTCGTCTTCGGCGAGACACCAGAGAGAGCTCACAGGTGCTGAAGACGCAGATGATGATGCAAGAGATCCAAAAACCTTGTCGATCCTTACTCTGAAAGATTCATCCATTGCAAGAACGAATTTGAGACGACGATGGCCAAAAACTGGGGAATATTGTTCTGTGTTGGGATATATATGCTCTTGTGGCCAAACAAACATAAACCGACCTTTACACTTTCGTCGTGTTAACTAATGGGCTACATGAAAGCCCATTAAAATTATTGGGCTTGTTAAAAGGCCTAACCCATTTAACTTGAAATTCGCCGTTAATCTCAACCTTTCTCTCACCTCAAGTTCCACGCGTAAGCGTGCTTGCTGATGCAGGCTGCAGAATAATTTCGATTTTTTTTTTTTTCTTCTAATAATTTCGATTTATGATCCGTATGTTGGAGCGTAACGTCAGTTCTAAGGTTTTGTGTGTACTATGGATAAGGGTCACTTATTTATTAAAGCAAGCAATGAAATATTAGAGAAGAAAAAAAAAAAGGACAACATTTTCGGAAATAAAAGTTGAGAGTTTGAGAGTTGTAAAAGGCCAAATCTTTCTTCTTCTTCGTCACTCTAATTGAGTTGACTAAAAGACAGTTCGAATTCCAGACAATGGATCTTGCGAAGTTTCTGTGTTGGGTAGTTTTGCTTCTGGGAATCTCATTCGTAGAATCAAGGTACATGGTCTACAATACTTCACATACCATGGTTCCTGGAAAGCTTAATGTCCATGTGGTTCCTCATTCCCACGATGATGTTGGTTGGCTCAAGACCGTTGACCAGTACTATGTTGGCTCTAACAACTCTATTCAGGTCTTGCCCTCTTTCTGCTTTTCTTGTAGCTGTTTATTGATTAGATTTTGTTGTACTTACTTTTGTTTTTGTTTCTTTTTTGCTCGTAGGTTGCTTGTGTTCAAAATGTGCTGGATTCAATTGTCCCTGCGCTGTTGGCTGATAAGAATCGCAAATTCATTTATGTTGAACAGGTACATTTGGTTTCTTTTTTCCTAATTGATTAGTGGAGGTGGTTGTTGTTTGCTTTTTGTTGACTAGGCCTGTAAATGAAGGTTTAATGAAGAGATTAGTTTAATAGTACTGTCGTTGTTAGTTAGGTGTGAACAATCTTTCGAGTTGAATGACGGTTACTTTTTGATGAATGCAGGCGTTTTTTCAGCGATGGTGGAATGAACAAAGTGAGACAATTAAGCGTATTGTGAAAGAACTTATACACTCAGGCCAACTGGAGCTCATGTATGGGTTTTGTCAGCTTTCTTTATCTGTATCAGATTTGTACTTGTGTCTTTCCATTGGGTAATACTTTCCTCTTCTGCAGAAATGGTGGTATGTGCATGCATGATGAAGCAGCACCACACTATATAGATATGATTGATCAGACAACCCTCGGGCATCGATTCATTATCAGAGAGTTCAATGTGACTCCAAGAATCGGTTGGCAGATTGATCCTTTTGGACATTCTGCAGTGCAGGCTTACTTGCTTGGCGCAGAAGTGAGTTCTTCTTTGGGTCTTCATTTAGTATTTCTTATGGAACTAGAGGTGTGAAGATATTGGTTTTACTGATTTACGCAGGTTGGGTTCGACTCAGTCTTTTTCGGTCGGATAGATTACCAAGATAGGGAGAAGCGTAAAAATGAGAAGAGTCTTGAAGTTATCTGGCGGGGCTCTAAGAGTCTCGGTTCTTCTTCACAGGTAAAACACAAAGCAAAAATTGATTTGGTAGTTTGTACTATGGATTTCATTGGATATTCTTTTTCTTTTTCTAACATTGATCTGACTTGATACAGATTTTTGCTGGTGCTTTTCCTAAGAACTACGAACCTCCACCTGGTGGTTTCTACTATGAAATCAACGATGATTCCCCCGTTGTCCAGGTATTTTTCTTGACAGTTGATTACACTTTCTGTTGTATTTATTCTATTCCTATGTAAGTTGTTCCTCTTAATCCGTGAAGGATGATCCTGACCTGTTTGATTACAATGTTCAAGAACGAGTGAATGCCTTTGTAGCTGCAGCTTTGGATCAGGTAGATTTGTAGAATGTTCCTTTTTTGGTAGAATTTTCTGTAACATTTTTGTGACATGTTCCTTGGTATCTGCAGGCCAACATTACTCGAACAAATCACATTATGTTTACCATGGGAACAGATTTCAGGTACCAATATGCCCACACCTGGTATCGACAAATGGACAAGCTTATTCATTATGTTAACCTCGTAAGTCATCGAAAGATTAGTCTAAATTATCTGTTCCTCTTGTTTCTGGATATATGTCTGTGTGGATTTCTAGTAAACTAGATGATTAGAACCACTAGATATCTCTAATTCGTGGACCCTGGATTATTTTAGGATGGGCGTGTCAATGCTTTCTACTCTACCCCTTCCACATATACAGATGCAAAACACGCGGCAAATGAGGCTTGGCCCCTGAAAACAGAGGACTATTTCCCGTGAGTTGGGTCTTAAATTTTTAAACTCCTTCATCCAGATTTTGCATACATATCTATATTAAACCAATCTTTACTGCAGTTATGCAGACCGTATAAATGCTTATTGGACTGGATATTTTACAAGTAGGCCAGCACTAAAGCGTTATGTCAGAGTGATGAGTGTCTACTACTTGGTATTTGTTCTTCCAAGTTTAAAATAATGCACTAGAAGTTGTGTTATTTAATCATGTATATAACTTGAGAGTTTAGGCGGCAAGGCAACTTGAGTTTTTCAAAGGGAGAAGTCAGAAGGGTCCGAATACAGATTCGTTAGCAGATGCGCTAGCAATTGCTCAACATCACGACGCTGTTTCTGGTACATCGAAACAGCATGTGGCTAATGATTATGCAAAAAGACTAGCAATAGGCTATGTGGAGGTAGAGTGCCAACTTCCCCTGTGAATTGTGGTTCTCTAGTGGCATGTTTGCTCTATTTGCACGTCAGTAAGATCTGTTGACCTTGCAGGCTGAAAGTGTGGTTGCTACTTCTCTTGCTCATCTGACTAAAGTAGATCCCACCCTGAAACCAACCTTCCAACAGGCAAATAATCTCCTAGCTTATATGTATTTCTTAGAAGAATTGAATCACTATTGGGAAGGCTTACATTACATCCTTTTGATAAAGTTTGGCCTTCCTTTTCAGTGTTTGTTACTAAACATAAGTTACTGTCCCTCAAGCGAAATCAACTTATCCGACGGGAAAAGTTTGGTAGGCAAAAATTATTATCCCTCTCGGTTTTCAGCTTATCTATAATATGCTTCCTTCCCGTAATTTACACTTCTCTTTCCTCTCTGTAGATCGTATTGGCTTATAACCCACTAGGATGGAAGCGAGTGGATATTGTCCGGCTTCCTGTGAGTCAATCAATTTCTTGTTTGTTAAAGCCGCTATTATGTATTAACAAATACGACGGATCTTTGATAGGTTGTGGGCGGAGAGATTGCGGTACATGACTCTGAGGGAC